ATGTATTACTTTGATTATATGGCGAATTTTTTATATTGTTCTTTAAAAAATAATCTTAATTGAATAATTGAAAACATATTATGGCGATTTATAATGTGAAATTGAATTTGTTCGATTTGTAGCGCAGCAGGAATTTACTTTTTAAAAAGAATTAAATTGACATTATTTAAAAATATATTGAGATAAATACTGCAAATTTTTTATTTCATAAAATGAGTAGACGAAAGAGATCAGTTTCTGCTTTACTTAGCAATGATGAAGAATCAATTACAGCTCGCTCTTCTCGTAAAAGTAGAGCGATCTCTAGAGCAATTGATGAAGAATCTGAAAAATCTACTTCGATTATACATACACATGACAGAAGAATGGTTTCTTGCAATTGTTCTAAATGTAACAGAAAAATAGTAGATATTCGTACAAAATTGAACCATGAGGCTGATCGAGATTCGGATGATGACCAAGATTCAGAAGTTGTTCAAGATTATAGTAATCCTTTACCATCATCATTTGAAGATTATAGTAATCCTTTACCATCATCATCTAAAGATTATAGTAATCTTTTACCAGAAGACCCAGTATCGTCTGACGAAGATTCAGATAATAATTGGAACGTAATTTAACGAATGAAAATGGAGGAAATAGACGACTTATCAACTGATTTACTTTGTCGACAACATTTGAGAAGATACGCAAATCAACAAGCAACAATTACCGAAGAAGAAATTCCTCCAGAATTATTCATAACTGATGAAGAATCAAGCAAAACTGAAGAAGAATCAAATGAAACTGACGAAGAATCAAATGAAAGTGAAATCAATAACGGCAATAATAATGATTATGAGTATACTGAAATTTTGAGAATTATGCCCCACCTGTTTATGAGCAATTTCAAGATCGAATTAGTCCAGACACAAATGCCAATAGACAATTTTTGTGGATTTTGCTGTGGATAATGAGCTTTCGCAAAAGATTTAATATTCCAGAAACAGCAACAGAAGCGCTTATTCAATTCATAAAGCTGTTATTGATAGAAATTGGCGGTTTTAATTTTGAAGAATTTCCTGGCTTTTTATACTTAGCAAGAAATGTTCTTGGGCTAAAAGATCAATATCATAACTTTGCGGCATGTCTGAAATGCCACAAATTATATAATAAAAAGGAAGTAGAAGAATTTCAGCAAAATAAAAATCTTACAGTTATGAAGTGTAGTCATGTCGAATTTCCTAATTCAACATCCAGGAGATTAAAATAATGCCAGACGCCTTTAGCAGAAAGATTAACGTTATTACATGGCCGTATTAAAATTCGATCTGAGAAGATATTTCCATTTACTAGTATCAGAAATTAATTAGCATCAATGTATTGCCAGCCGGGATTTGAAAAAAATTTACGTCACTGGTCTGAACACAAACGATTTGACAATATTTTAACTGATATCTATGACGGTCAGGTCTGGAAAAATTTTAAAGAAACAAGCAATGAAAATTCGGCGAAATTTTTTCGAACTGAAGTGGCTGATTCTAATCTTGGTTTAATGTTGAATCTTGATTGGTTTCAACCATATGATGGTGTTATCCATAGTACCGGAGTAATATATGCCGCAATTTGTAATCTACCACAGGATATGCGGTTTAAACGTGAAAATATGTTGGTTCTTGGTTTGTTGCCCAGTCTAAACGAAGTGAGTCTCCACTAAATTAACCATTATTTGGCGTCAATTGTCAACGAATTAGTGTTACTTTGGGACGGAGTGACGTTTAATAACACTTTTGAGTACCAAGAACCAAGAAAAATTTGAGCGGCACTGATACTTGTTTTGTGTGACATTTCCATGGCAAGAAAAATATGTGGGCATATTTCAGTCCTTTCATCATGTTATAGATGTGAGAAGAAAGCAAATTACGAAAATCATAAATATAATTTCGCTGGAATGGATAATATGAGTGAATGGTTCATCAATCGAAATTCAGCACAATTTTGCGAGAATGCCCTTGGATGGCGTCGCTGCAATTCAAATGCTGCAAGGAATCACTTTGTAAAAACTACTGGCGTAAGGTGGTCTGAATTGCTGAGATTGCCATATTTCGACCCAATTCAGTTTTTATCAATTGATTCAATGCACTGCCTATTCTTAGGTATTGCAAAGTGGATTGTTAAGCGGATTTGGGTTGATGAAAATATATTAAAACCGGAAACTCTAAAAGAAATTCAAAAGAAAATGAATCAATTCCAAGTACCAGCTGACATAGGTAGGATCCCGGGAAAGGTGAAATATGGCGAAGGTTTTGCGAATTTTACAGCCGATCAGTGGCGAATATTTTTTAACATTTATGCCACAGTGTCACTTTGAAAACACCTTCCTGGCATAGATAAGAAGATTATTACACGTTTTGTAAGAATTTGCTCGATTTTGGTAGAACGAATTGTTCAATCCAATTTAATGGATGAAGCTCACCAAAATTGGTTGAAATTGTAAAAATAATTGAGCAAAATTACGGTCAAGATATGATAACTCCGAACCTTCACCTTTCGCTCCATTTATACGAATGTGCAAAAGATTTTGAGCCTCTTTACGCTTTTTGGTGTTTTTCGTTCGAGCGCATAAATGGCATACTAGGTAAGATGCTGACATTTAAAAATATCCTTTTTCTTCTAAAATTAATTTTAAATTACATTCCTTTATTTATTTTTTAGGTTCTTTGCCTAATAGCCATTGGAAAATTGAACCAGAGCTAATGAGCCAAATTATGAACGATAAACAAATTAATAATATTGTTAGTTCTGGAATAGTTGATACAAAAGGTCTCGATATACTTGATACCAGACCTTCAGTCAGTTCAATTTCAGAACTCGACGAATTTACTTCAGTTGAAATGGAGCGATATTTGCTATACTCGCAAAATATTAAAGAATCTCTGATTGCTGGATGCGAAGCATTTCCAGGAGAAATGCTAGGCCCTTCCTTGGAAAAAGTTATAATGTCAAGTGAAATGCTTGACATAATGGTAGATTATTATAATGCGACCTACCCAGCAAATAACTTCTGAAAACCATTTGAAGAAGGACCCAAAGATTCAATTATTATTCGTGTCAGAATGAATCAATTCGGAAGATGCAGAATTAGTTCTGAAATATTCGGCTCAAAAATGTCGTCTCGTCATGTAAAAAGTTCATTTGTTACGGCAAAATTTATAACGATTGACAATGATGTTGACGTTTACCCTGGTCAAGTTCAATATTATTTTATTCATACAGTTGACCTTCCGAATGGTCCTGCTGAGCATTTTTTGGCTTATGTCCGATGGTATAAACATGCAGGCTCTAGAAATATTCGATATTATTTCAGTAGTGATAATGACATTAATACTTGTAATGTTGAGCTATGGTGAGCCAAATTTTATCAAGAGTCACGTGAATGTATTATTCAGATTCATAATATTATTAGTCGATTTATTCCAATAAATTACCAAATTTCAGAACAAAGGAATGCAAGAGAGTATTTAGCCGTAAATCAAATAAATAGAAAATACAATATTCGCTAATAGATTCTTATTTGTCAATTTATAGATTAAAACTGGATTTATTATGATTTATTCGGATTTATTAGTATTTGATCGAGTTTGGGAGGATAAGAATTAACTTTAACAATTTTATCATATGCTAATTTTAAATTAAATGTCAAATTTATTATAATTTATTATATTTATTATAATTTATCCAGATTTATTGGGTTTGGGAGGATAAGAATTAACTTTAATTAAAGTTCAAATGCCGAAAATGCCGAAATTAGGCTGAAACTCGGTCTTAATTTTGGCCAAAATTAAAATTCAGCCGAAATTAATGATTTTATCATATGCTAATTTTAAATTAAATGTCAAATTTTTATTGCCATAAATCAGAAATGCCGAATTGTGTAAATTGTCTGATTGTTATAAATCGGAAATGCCGAATTGTGTAAATTTTCTGATTGTTATAAATCGGAAATGCCGAATTGTGTAAATTTTCTGAATTTTAGCTGAATTTAGTTTGATTTTCAGCTGATTTATCACATGTCTGATTTGCCTTATTTCGACTAGTGGAAGTAAATATCAACAAATAATAATTCTATTTCAAACCTTATTATTTTTAAAAAATTTTGTTATATTTTATCAGCATTAATATTTTACATTTAAATTTCTTGTAAAGTATTATTAATTAAGTAATATAACTGATGATTTTCAAATTCCATTATATCATGTATTACAAATTTTCCTTTAATCTTACTATTTATAGGATATGGCTAAAGTGAAGCTAATGTAGCTCAAAAAATTTTCTGGATTTCCTTGATGTGGCATGTATGATAAAATATTTACCTGTGGCGTTCAGCTGGCTTAACATTGAGCTGTGATTGAGCTTAAAGAGTCCTTCGTGAGTATGGCGAGTGCTCGCATAAGCTACACAGCTGCAAAAAACTGGTCCTGCTATATCACAGTGACACTATTATGACGGCTGAGTTATAGTGGTAAATATTTTCCTGCTATGTGCTATCAGAAGAATCCAGTACAAAATTTTTTGAGCCACTGCAGTCCTACCCCACTTTAGCTGTACTCTATTTATAGTAGTTCTACTAAAAAATTGTTATTATTATTAGTATTAAGGTAAAAAGAGTTAAAGAAACAGTAAAAGGAGTAAAAGAAACATGGATATTATCGTTAGTATTAAAGTACAAGTAAAAAGGAATAAAGAAAACATAGATAGTATTGTTAGTATTACGACATAAAGAATTGAATTTAAATAAAAATAAAAAATAAAAGTAAAAAATTTGTTTAGTGATATAATTAATACAATTATTATATATAATATATATATCTGATTATAGTTTTGAAGTAGAAAAAAATTGCAATTCTAAATTTTTTTTCTTTAATAAGTTTTGCAAAATTCTGAAATATATTAAAAAAAAACATGTATATAAAAAGTCTTCTTTTCTATATAAATCTATTTGTAATTTTGAATTTATTTATCTTTGACTTAGATTAGAGTTCTGAACAAGTTGACCAAATTCAGGTAACCTGACAGATTGACTTGAATTTATCAGGTCAGGTTTAGCAATTGCAATTCAGTATCAATTCTGGTTATAACATTAATATAATCTAAATGACCTGTTGACCTGAAACTATGATTTTATATAAGTAAATTATGGTATTATAATTCACTTTTTATATTGATTTTATATATAAAAAGTGAATTGCGGTATCAGAATTCACTTTTTTATATTGATTTTATATATAAAAAGTGAATTGCAGTATCAGAATTTACTTTTTTATATTGATTTTATATAAAAAAAGTTAGTTACAATATTGTGATTTACCTTTTTATACAATTTTAATATAAAAAAGTGAATTGCAATATTTTTAAAAAAAATGTTTTGCACCATTTTTTTTTGATATTTTAATAAAAATCCCAAAAATTTTCAGGTTTCAGTTCAGGTCAGATCAAACAGATAATCTGATATAACTTGACCTGACCTGACCTGAAAAAAATTTCAGGTCAGGTTTATTAATTAATCTGACTTGACCTGACCCATTCAGAACTCTAATTTAGATTATAGAATAATTTAACTCATTATTTTACTTTATTTTCAAAATTATTAATTTCAGAATTTATTAGATTAGGATATTTTAAAACCAAATATAAATTATAAAAATCAAGCTATAGTTTTTGAATATTTTTACCATGTTTTCTTAAAATAAAATTAACAATAGGAAAATGTTGTAAAACCTTTTTCTTATCAGGTCCTGTTAATGAAATCCAATTCTATTTATTATTATTTGATCTTGATTTAAAAAATTCAAAATGAATTTTAATTAATTTTATGGTTTATTTAATTCAATTTTTATTTTTTATTCAAATTCCTTTTTTTTTTAAATAAATTATTAAAAAAATATTTTATTATTAATGCATCTGAAATGCATAATAATAGATATAACTTATTTAAAATATAATTTTTTTTATTTAATAACTGAAAATAATGATGGTTTTTTTTAATTTATTAGAATTTTACAATTAGAATAAAATTAATTTAATAAAAATTATTTTTAATAAGTTTACATTTACATTTTATATTTTTATTAATTGGCTAATATAAATTCATATTCCAGTAATTACTTGCTTTACAATTACAATATAAATAAAAATATTTTGAATTTGGAATACTTAATTCCATTATATTATACATAAATTTTATTAACCAATATATATTATTAACAGAAATCCTATTTTCTTGAAAATCTTGAAGTTGATATTTAAATAGATTTCCAATTTTAACCAATATTTCATATCTTTTTTTACCTATATAAAGATAAATACTAATTTACTATTTAATAATAAATACTCTAAAAAATTTATAAAATTTAATACTACTATATTGATGGTCTGGTTTTAATACTTCATTTTTTTTATTTAATAAACAAAGAGTTATCATTACAGTTTACAGTCCACATTTCTTTCATCTTCACTAAACTTCAAATAAATTGTATTTGAAGAATTGGCAAGTTTGATCTGCTTCAAATAGGAATAAATATTCTAGGAAAATTTTTAATAAATCAATAAATACTATTACCAATTTTTTATTATCAATCATGATTCCAATAGGATTATCTTAATATTTGTTATTATTATTAAGTATGGGTTGTTAATTTTAAAGATGCTTGCCAAAACTATTTTTTTAAAATTTTAGTATAGTCAAAATTCAATCTGAAACTATTTTTTTAATAAAATTAGTTGCTTAAACTGTTTTTCCTTTTGTTTTGCTTGATAAATAATTAGTTTTACTTTTATTTTTTAATAAAGTTTGAACTATACTCTATTAATTCTTAAAAAAAAATTTTAAAATAATAGGATTGTAATACTACTTATTATTGTCTACTGGTACTGGTATTTCTTATTTTTATTTATAATAAACAAATAATTATATGGACCAAAAATAAGTATCTTGTTATGGACTTGGAATATTTAAGTTTTTGATGCCTCATTATAACAGAACTTAAATATCTCTTATACAATTTATAAAGTTCCAAAAGTAACATAATAACTTGGTTATATTGATGTTCACTGAACTATATTTCTTATAAATATGGGTATGTAGGATAAAGAATTTCTAAACTCTTTGCAAACTCTAATGTGAATTATAAAATTAATATTCAAATAATAAAAATTTGTTTACAAAAACTGGAAAATTAAAATATTAATTCTATTTTAAAATATATGATAATTTTATTTTCGATAGCTTTGTAAAACCATAGAATAAAAAAACTAATATCAAAATAATTTAATTGATTCAATTAAAATTCGATTAACATATTCTTAACAAGCATCTGATAAAAACAGTTTATTTAAGGCTAACTATTCAATTAAAAATTTTGAAAATTTTAACACTAAATTTGTATAGTTTATTTTTAAAAATATGACCCGAAATGACCGCTCATTCATCCATATCAGCATTGTCATCATCATTAGCTTCTTTATCATTGGCTTCTTCATCAGCTGCATTATCATCGTTGGCTTCCTCATCATCATCATCATTGGCATCATCATCATCATTGGCATCATCATCATCATTGGCTTCATCGGCATCATTGGCTTCATCATCATCGTCATCATCGGCTTCATCGGCATCATTGACATCATCATCATCTTCCTCCCTGCTTACTATATCATCTTTAGGCTTTTTTAACTTTGAATGTTCGGTTTCCTTCTTTCTTCGTTGTTTCCCACATTGTCCATCATATTCATTATCTAACATATCTAGGTCAACATTTGGATGTATGGCCAATATCATTTGACCAGATCGTCCAGTAGGTGGTTGTTCGTCAACAGGTTCAGTGTATTGTTGATCATCAGATTCTTCAGGACCAATTTCATCATCTTCAAATGACTTGTCAGCAATTGGTAACAACCAAGCATCCTATATTTTAATGTAAAAGATTAGTAATTGTATTACTTATATTAAATCGCTAAGAAATTGAGCAATAATATATCACCTTGATCAATTGTTTCACTACTTTCTTAAATTTTGTTTCTTCGGCTTCAATTGATTCTTCGCTTACAAAATCGTTTTCATGTTCTTCCAAGTACCATTGAATTAATTCATCTTCGCCACACGCTAATTTAATCGATTACAAATAAAATTATGAATAAATAAATACAATAATATACTCAAATAAGTAGCCGGATGGTAAAAAAAAATAAACTCACATCTTTCTATTTTTAATTTAGATATAATCTTATCTCGAATCTTTGTAAAATCTTCGTACGAAATTGTATTTTCCGAGCGCCTCGAACGTCGTGAAGTTGATTGATTTGAATTCGAGCCACCATCGTCATCTACTTCCATTGTATCATCATTTTGCTGACGTACATCATCGTTCTGAGCTTCATCGTCATCATCTAATAATAAATCATCATGATATACGTGAATTATAGATTGCTGTAAAAGATTACACGCTTCATTTACGTAGTCCGGTATTATCTAAGAATTAGCATAATTCGTTAAAATATTTATTATCAAATCAAGAAATATTATTATGAAATTTTTGCCTTACCTCATTACTACAATGAGCTTTTGCAATAGCCTCAGATAAACGTATCATACTTTCTAGTTGACGAACTGTAATTCGATAAGAACTTCTACCAGCACCGGTTGCATCGTCTTGCCGAAGATCTCTATATTTCTCAGCAAACAATTTTGCGGCTTCTGAAGTAATCTTTTAATAACACATCACATTATTTAATTTATTGTAATTAATATTATTTTCGGTTAGAAGAGTTTACAAACCTTTGGTTTGAAGGTTCGTGCATAACGTATATATCTTTGAAGTTTGGCGGTATCAAAATATGGATTTATGTTATCATCTCCGCGTCGATGGGTTCCAACTATGTAATCCGCAATCATCTTGTCTACATCCGGTTTACATTCATCAAGTACAACAAAGAATAAATCAAATCTAGACATTATAGGTGCTGACATAGAAATATTTCTCTAAAAAATGATAAACATATATATTTATTTATTTATTTATTTATTTCAACGAATGAATTTACAATGCTTGCAAACTTACTCTTAGCGTTAATTTCTTATTGTAACGTCCATCTCTAGGATTAGCGGCTGCCAATATAGAAGTTCGAGCGTTCAAAGTTGCATGGATACCAGCTTTTGCAATAGTAATCGTTTGCTGCTCCATTGCTTCATGAATAGCAACTTGATCAGGTATGTCCATCTTATCGAATTCATCTATAGCGCATATTCCCTGTTTAATTTAAAGCTACTTGAGTTTATAAATTTGTAACTTTAAGGTAAACACTCGTTAATTACATTATCTGCCAACATCAAAGCACCGGCTTCAATGGTAAAATCACCAGATTCTTCATCTTTAACGACAGCAGCAGTTAAACCGGCTGCAGAAGCGGATTTACCCGACGTGAACACCGAACGAGGGTTCATCACACAGGCATATCTGTACAATAGAAATAATGAATATACAAAATTATAACGATATGGGCTCAATAAATAATACTTACTTGAGAAATTGACTTTTACTAGTACTAGGATCTCCAACAATACACACGTTGATATCTCCCCTTAATTTAATTCCTTCTGGAGTAATTTTGTGGACACCTCCCAAAAGTTGAAGAAGAATCCCCTTTTTTACAATTTCGTGCCCTAAGGTATAAAAATTGTATTAATTTCATATAAGTTATTAATAAAAGTTTAGGCTTTGGCGACGTACCAAAAATTGATGGAGATATGCTCTTCACTAATTTTTCAAAGATATTTTCATCTCGGCTCATCTCAATTAATTCGTTCTTTTCGTCTTCCGTAAGTAACGAAAGGAATGCTTTCTGATCTTCTTCAACATTTTCATATTCTGAACTTCCAAGTGTCTTACCAATCTGTTTTTTTTTTTTGGATTTGAAATCAATATTGTGATAAAAAATCATTCATTATTAAACATTAAAGCCCCTTTTGTTTTACCTTTTCATTCTCAGTATGCACAGTACATGCCATGAAGGATATTTTGTATGATAAATCCCTAGCACCAAGAGCCTTTAACCCGGTAACTCCTTCGCGAGCTAGACCATCAGCAGTACGATTGCTACGATTATCACGTGATACCTCCGCACCAGCACCTGGAATACCAAGTTGATTGATATCCGGGATAACAAGAGGAGTACCCACGAATATACACTTATTACCGGGTTTTGCTTTTTCGACCATTTCTTGCCGAACGATTACTTCGAGACTTGAATTTATATTTATAAAATTCATGATAAATATTAAGACGGCACTATTTAATATTTTTATTTTAATTGCAACTCACGTTCGAGGCATACATCCAGTTGGTATTTCGTTAGGATTTTCTTGTATACGAATTCGTTGCCAGTCTGTAAAAACGGAATGGTCACTATCGAGAACCCACGCAGTACGATTGTTACAAGTGGGAGTTTGGCACAAGGGAGGCTACAAGAAATCAATGTTTGTAAACGATTAATATTGTACATAATAAGATAAGTTACGAAGAATTCTCATATGTACTTCAGTATATCTAAATTGTTGTTCCACGTTAGGTACGTCAATTTTACATTCTTGACAAGTAAATTTTCCAAAAAGTAATTCCGGTCGCACTTCACTAGTTCTTGTTACAGTGCCGCTGATACTCATAAGACATCCAATTCTTTCAGTTTTTATCTCTCTGATATGTTGTATAGCTGGCATACTATGAAAAGCTACTAAATAATCAAGAGCATAAGATCTTTCTAAACTCTCTCGTGCTGACTCATCTTCATCTAAATTATCCATCTTTTTTCTTTTTTTATCAACTGTATCGAGGATCTCGGTGTCATCCTGATCCATGTCAAAATTATTTTCATTCTTATTATTTGAAGTTTTGTCTTCCTTTGGAAAATATTTATTAATAAGAATTTCAACTGCCTTACGAAGGTATGGTTCAATTCTTTCAATTTTTAGAAAAAATAAGATTTAATATTAATATACAAATTAATTTTAAATCAACAAGAAATAACCGTCTACATAAATATTAAATACCTATAATACTGATATAAGATTGCTTGCCATAATGAATTGGTTTCTTCCCAATTAAAAATGTCATAAAAATTTACGTAAAATACGTGTTTATCTTCATTCACCATAATTTCTAATTGTTTAAGATATGGATTAAAGCCTGGTTCAGTCGTGTTCTTGTAACTACAAATATTAACCCACAAGTTAGAATATTCTTAGTTTTTTTTCGAATACCTGAAAAATAAAACACATACTTTTCAATAAACTCGATAAATAAATATCCGAATTCTGAAGCAAATTCATCTTTTGCTTTCTGTATTCCTTCAAATAACTTTTTTTGTTTACGAACACCTTTTTTTGCAGAGACTTCCTCAGCTTCGCCGTTTCTATCAACTTCTATCATATTTTTGTGAAAGAATGAACAATAAGGAAATACACGAGAAATTACAAATTTTCAATTTTTAAGGAGACGCGCATTTTCTATACTATCTTGGCAGTCCTATAAGTCCGATATTGTCCCTATTGGATTGTCATTTCAAATAAAACGTGTCAAGTCACAAAAATAGTATATGAACAGGAGATATTAAGTATACAAAGATTTATAAACGATTATCAATTTTTTCGCGTTTATGGCGTAGCATTATTTTAATGTAATCTAGGCTTAACTAGCCGATCAAATCTTCCCGTCAAAAAATAATATAAATTTTTTTCTGAATAAATACTGGCTGTGCCGCTTCGCCCTTCGGTTCCGATTTTATCAATTCAACCGAAATATTTTCCGGAAATATTTCAGAATTTAATTTTTTTAACGTTCGTAAAAGATTCATTATTAAAAAATTCATATTTAATGTGAAAACGCAATCACTACTAAAAAAAATTCACTCATTTGACCTAATTGATCTGCGATCTATTATTATTTATTGATTATCAAATTTACTAAAATTTTCGTGAACTTAATAATCGGTTTGTTTTAAAATATCTAATCGATCTATATAAAGAAAGCGGAAATCCAAAAATAGATTACCAAAGCCTATCTTTTGAATTTGTGCGACTAACCTCGATTGATAAAGCCTCTTTCATTTAGATTTATAGGCTGAATAACTTCAAAAATTTCATTTATTAAATTTTTACGCCGTCTCGTTCCTTATTTTTTTCTTTTTTCTTTTTTAACACTTTTAGAATTTTATAAATTGATTTTATTTAATTTGTTTTTTTTAAAGACTTTTTAATAAACACGATATTAAAACGTATGAAATGGCGCATTCTCAAGGGTATAACGCTAGCGGTCAATTTCTAGAAGAAGCTTCTGCAATTGATCAAGGAATTAAGAAAATTCAAGATAATATCGGACGTATTCAAATGTTGCAAACATATATTATAGTTAGTACCTCAGACCAGCAAGCAGATACACATAGAAAAGAACGTGAAGGTCTCATGACTGAAACAAAGAATTTATTATTTGAGTTAAAGGATCGAATTAAAAAAATCCAATATGAAAATGCTCGATTACCTAAAAATGATCTCAACTTAAACATTCGTAAACAAAGACATGAAGTTCTCCATGAAAAGTTTACCAACGTACTTGAAGAATATCGAAACGTTGAGGATGAATATATGAGACACCAAAAAGATCGAATGGCCCGTCAATACAGGGTGGTTAATCCTGAAGCGAATCAACAAGAAATAGATGATTATTTGGCCAATCCTTCTGGTCAATCAGTATTTCAACAAGCAGTAATACGCACCGGTGAAGCTAAAGCCGCGTTAGCAGAAGTTCAAAAACGACATGGAGATATTAAACAAATTGAACAAACCATTTCAGAGTTAGCATCTCTTTTTAGTGAAATGCAATTGCAGGTAGAAGAACAAGATCCTGTATTAGCATCTGTTGAGGAAGATGTGACTGAAACTCTGGTAAAAATTGAAAAAGGTAATATATTTTTTTAATATTGAATTTATGAGAATTTAAATTTTAATTAAACCTTTTATAAAAATAGCCGGCGATGCACTGACTCACGCAAATAAAGACGCAATAAAAGCTAGGAAGAAAAAGTGGATTTTACTTGGAATCATATCTTTTATTGTTTTTATTATAGTAGTTATAATCATTTTTCAATTCAGGCATAAGTCTTCTGATTCTAGTGCACCACCTGCTACAACTACAACTATAACTGCTACATCTAATACGCTTGCCACACCTACACCTACATCTACCTTATCACCACCTTAACAGATTAAAATTATATAATTATGTGTAAGATAATGTAATTAATAATTATGTATCGTTAAATTATTAAGTTTATCTATAGCTTATATATATTTTTGTATATACTATAAATGAACAATTTATAAATATTATTATAATTAAAATATTGTAAATTTCTTTTATTCATGGATAAAGTCATCATTTTATTTGCATGCTAAATTTATAGTGTCCGAATATGCAATTTCTCTTTTAACTGTCTTATTGATGACTAAAGTTACATTTTCGATGGGTTAATTTCAAAATATTTCCAATCCTTTTTTTGAAAGTTATACGCAATGAATATTAGAAGAGAGTACTAGTTACTATAAATATTTACTAATGTTACCCGTTATGTAAATGAAGTCCGGAGAAAAGATCTTAAACTAATTAAGATTATTGTGCAATGACGGGAACCAATCAACATCGACTCAATTGTCGGAAGTTAAAAACTTTATACAAGCTTCATTTTCATTGTCTTTTAAAATTAAATCATTTAAAACGATCTCATCTTATATATAAAAATAAATCAAATAGCCATGAATAATTTAATTAAGATAAATTATTAGGATTCAGTTCTGGGGAAATCAAATTTGTGTCAAAAAAACTTTCCAAGTTGACCGACATTAATAAAAATGTGTGGCTTATGTGATAATCATTGTGTCGTCAAATGGTTTCATTGTTTTTAATCTATTAGTCACGGGTTTTTAGATGCTTTATTATATAATTTTTTTTAAAAAAATAAAATGGCGGTATTACCAATATATCACCTAATCATTAAACTTTCTCTTGACGTTAAAGATTAGGTAATGAATTATTCTAAATTTGGAAAATAATTTCATTTCTATTATTATTTAAAATAAAACATAATTTCTACTCCCCACAAAATGCATTTCAAATGGATTTGTTTAATTCTACAATCTTTCATTGCAGATTGCCAATATTAATTATTTAGAAAGTTTAGGATTATTTTTTTCTTTACATAAATTTATATATTTTTTTTTTAAAAAAAAAAAATATTTATCTTAAGGGAGTGGTGTGCTTTATTTTAGGAAATTACACATATTATATATATAATTTAACTGATCTAGGCCATCCACCCATCCTGTAGATAGTGCTTCGACCCGGATGAAAACCGTCATCCGGATTACACAAAAAAAAAATCCGGATTATATCCGGATTGACCCGGATTTTGAATCCGGATCAGATAATCCGGATTATATCCGGATTGACCCGGATTTTGAATCCGGATCAGATAATCCGGATAGAAACCGGAAACCGGATTGGATTTACAAATGATCGGCAATAATTCTGGCCAGAATTCATAACGCCGGCCAGAATTACAAATTGTGTAACATTAAATTTTCATGCAAAAATTTTTTGCCCGGTGGCTAAACTATTTTTCCGGTGTCACGTGATGTTAATTTCGGCCAGAATTACAAATTTGGCCAAAATTATCCAAGACCACGAAATTTACATAATTCCAATTTTATTAAATACTTTTATTTAAAACAATTTCATATTATTTCAGCATTGTCTCAGACTATTGTTTAACATTTCTTTGTAAATTAACTAATTATGAAATTTTAAACAAGATATTTTTATATACAGCTAAAGATTACTATAAATAGATGTGTTGGGTTAGTAAGGCAATTTTTTAAGGATTTGTTTCTTCTTTCAAAAATTAAAGAATAATTTGAATCAAATTATATAACACTAGTTTTAATTTTTAAAAAAGTTGTTATAATTATATAAATTTATAATATTGAACAATTTTTCATTTAAAACAATAATTATTATTTTGTTGTAACAAAAATAATATAAAGTTTTTTTTCTTTTGAACGTTTGAATGTGAAATCTAAAATTATTTGTTATTTGTTAATGTATAAATTTAAATAAACAAATCTGATACAAACTTCAATAAATAAATTATAATTGAAAAATCTTCTTAAACTTACTGTATTAAAAAGTTTAATATAACAAATATAAATTTAATAAATTTTAATAAAAAAATTGGTATTAGGCCT